AAAAAATCGGATATGAGTCAGATGGGTCAAAAAAATCGGATYTGSGTCGGATTTGCCTGCAGTGTGAACGTAGCCTAGGTCACTTGGATTGTGACGTAACAATCCACATGTTTTTGAAGCAGCTCATTTGCTGACACTAACAAACCAGTTACATATTGCCAAAACACAGCTGGGAGTATTTCTTGGACTGTTTCTGGAATCAGTACAGACACAAATTAAAGTATAAAAACATGTAAAAAAAAAAAGTGAGTTTTGCATAATAGAGCTTCTTTAAATTCTGGTGGAAAAACATCCAGTTCAGTCTGGACACTCGTGCCTGCAGCCTTACACACATACATGTCCAGGAGGAACATAGACTCAAAACAATAGTTTCTATTTTGACATCTGGTTCCTGCTCAAAATCATCTTTTCTCATACTTAAGAGATTTTTTTTCTTGTAATTATAACATCTCATCTCGTATTTATGAGATCAGGTATCTAATTTTTATTTATTACTTTTTTGTGAATGCAATGCTCTTCTGTATAAAAAGAGACACCAATTTCAGCATGTAGTTTATTTATGTTTTTGAAACTTGAACTAAAGTTAGCTAACTCTTACAGGCAGCCATGACAGCATGTCTTTCTGCCTGGATATGTCCTCTCCATTGCTCAGGTCTGAGTCCCTCCTGCTCAGGCTCACAGACCGGCTGTTTCCCTGCTGGACCCGGCCCTGTATTTACCGCTGGTCCACCACACAGGTAGCCTACAATGAAGTTTGCTTCTGATTTGACCACTTGTAAAGTGGCTATACCAGGTGTTCCAAACGTTTCCATGCCACGGCCCCCCAAACAATGTCGACTTTTGGCCAGGGACCCCCTTGCACACCCACAAACAATGGGCCTCATGCCAGAACCGTTCGTATGCACAGATTTGTTCTTAAGTTCGAGTGATTTAGGAGAATTTGTGGCATTCACCAATGTTTTCGTATTCTAAGATGTTTTTCAGATACGAACAAAATTTACGAGTGGTCCAGACCTGTCGTATGTTTTACGAGCAGTCAGTCTGCTGTTATCCAGATGGGTTTTCTTCATTAATAACCTTATATTTAATTAGTTTGAAGATATTTTGAGTTGAAAATAAATCACACTCCATAATCATGTTGACAATAGGCTATTCTGCTTGAATTAGAGTTATAATTTTAAATTTAATAATTTAGATTAACAATATAAATTGTCCGTCTGGCCGGCTTATCCACTATCAGGTGCGGGTGCAGCAGGAGAAAGACCCCCGCTCTCCACAGCGACACCTTCCATGTCCTCCCGAGACGTTCCCAGGCCAGAGGGGATACATAATCCCTCCAGCGAGTCCTGGATTTTCTCCAAAATGCCAGACTTATTTTGAAAACATTTTAAAAGTCTTATTTCAAACCCGCATCTGAGACCACCTGCGATCGCGCAGCGCGGGGAGGGGGAGGGGGGGTACGGTGCGCAGCGCTGCGGCTTCTGAATAAATGAAAATGATTTAACACAGTTGTTTATACTTTTAGCAGCTCTTTTTATCCCACAGCTGACCTGCAAAAAATGACAGATTTTCTTTTCTGGATCTCTGACAGACGGACTTCAATCTCTGATTTCGTAAAGTTCTTCTTTTTAGTTTTTGCTGTCATTTTTCATGAATGGACACTTCCTGATATCTGAGG